AAAATAGAGATCTGGATCTAGCTATAAATATCAAGATTTTAGAGGTAATGAGCATTTAAAGGAAATGCTAAGAATGAATAACTTGCTAAAGCTGTGCTCGGGAAATATGGGGAAGCAGTCCTCAAATTCTAGAGTAACATTTCTCAGTACAAATGTGGCAGATTTTATGTTCCAGAAGTCACTGGGTAAAGTTTCTCCTATCACACATAACTTTCTGCAGTGTAAAAGTGTTCTTCCGGGCCTGGAGAGATATTGACACAGAAACAGTGGGGAGGGTGTTTGCCTTGCATGCGACCAACCCCGGTTCAATCCCTAGCATCCCATATGGTTCCCCAATCACCGCCAGGAATAATTCCTGAGTGCAGAGCTAGGAGTAGCCCTCTGAGCATCTCTGGGTATGACCCAAAAAAGAAAACAAGCAAACAAAAAAAAAGTGTTCTTCCTCTGTAGGGTGGTAGGGTTTTCTTTGTCCACATAAGTGATGTGTTAGTGAGTAAAGAGTCATCTTTGACAATAGGCCTAGTCAAGGTCTATAATGATGCTCCAGCCACCACCTGACAACAGCTTTAGTAGACATTTTAAGAATTACTCATGTGGGCAGAGTCTGGCAAACTCCCCGTGGCCTACCAAATATGCCAAATACCAGTAACAATGATGGGTCTCATTCTCCTAAAGAGCCGTGAATATAATCTCAGGGCTAGGATGAAAGAGACGTTACTGGGGCCTGCTCGAGGCAATCGACGATTAACAGGATGATGAAATGAAAAAAAAAACTCATGTGATACCTGTCATTCTGAGAAGGATTAGAAATATCAAGAAATTGTTTTAAGCCACTATGTTGTCAGGTGGCCTATTTTACAGCAAAAGATAGAGACAAACAATTTGTTATGAATAAGTCCGAAGGAAAACAGCAAACAGATTAGTGGAGCAGAAAATCTTATAAACTCTTATAAAAGATAATAATATCTGAACTTTTGGGGTCTTGATTTAAACAAATTATGTTTAGTTTGCTTTTTGGCTTGAGATCATCGCCTGGCAGTGGTCATGAATCACTCCTGATGGTGCTTAAAGGACTGTCTCTGATGCTGAACATCAAACCCGGGTCTGAACTGGGGTCAGCAGCATACAAACCAAGCACCTTAACCCCTGTACTATTTTCCTACTCCCCCCAAAAAAATTATATATTAAAGCTTATTCTACTTATGACATAATTGTATAGGGCTAGAGCGATAGCACAGCGGTAGGGTGTTTGCCTTGCACGCAGCCAACATGGCCGATCCGAGTTCGATTCCTCCACCCCTCTCGGAGAGCCCGGCAAGCTACCAAGAGTATCTCGCCGGCACGGCAGAGTCTGGCAAGCTACCCGTGACATATTCGATATGCCAAACACAGTAACAACAAGTTTCATGATGGAGACGTTACTAGGCCCGCTCGAGCAAATTGATGAACAACAGGAGGACCGTGACCGTGAAATATTAAGGAAAGAATTTTTATGGAATGATGTCAAGGTGCACATAATTATTCATCTTTATTTTGATCTCAGAACTTGTTTATTTTGTTATTTTGCATAGAAACATCAAATTCTACTCTGTAAAAATTTTCTTTCTGTACTCTTTGGTACCTTATTTTGGCAAGGATCCAGGATATTTAATTCAAACTTATTTTAGTTTAAATAGGTCAAGAAAACTTAGAAATGACTTAGAGTGACATATGACATATTTTTCCAATAGATTTTTCTTTTTTTTGACCCATTAATCTAACTAGTGTTTATATCCTTAGCCTTCCTGTTATTTGTTATGCTTGTACCATTTAAATGGTCTTGAGTGATTTAGTTTTAATAGGTCTTAAATGATGTGTTATTTCAGTAGCTATTGTCGACTTCCCTTGTCTCATCACAACTAAATTATTTACAATTCTACGATTAGCAAGTAGCATTTAAATATTTTTATCTAGCTAAGAATTTGTGTTAGCCATTTAGGAGCATATGTGCATGATATTTGTCATTTTTCAATAATCACTAATTGAGAATTAAATATGCATCATGATTCTACTCAGGTATTTATGATATTAGAGTCAGTCCAGCTCTTTATGTTAGTTATAGTCTAATATCAAAGACAGATTACATGCAATTCCAGCAGTGAGTTGAGCACTGTGATAGAGGACTACAGAAAATAATAAACAGGGGATCACGAAGGAGGAAATATCATCTAACTGAAATCACCTATCTCAGCTAGTTTTTTTTTTCTTTGTAACTGCAGCAATGTACAGGGGTTACTCCTGGCTCATGCACTCAGGAATTACTCCTGGCAGTGCTCAGGGGACCATATGGGATGCTAGGAATCGAACCCAGGTCAGCCATGTGTAAGGCAAACACCCTACCCACTGTGCTATCTCTCCAGCCCCTCAGCTAGTTTGAGGTAAGAAAAACTACCAGAAAAGGCAAAACCAATGAAAGCTTTAGGGAGTATTGGCTGAGCCACAGCAAAAGAGGGATGAGTAGATATTGTCCCATGTAGATGATGCTGTATGGGCAAAGACACAAGAGGTTTAGTTAAGACATATCTATCAGTGAAACATATATGAAGAATCATGTGCAATTTAAAGTGGCAATGATGTGGGATCCAGAGAGAGATGAAAGCTGAAAGATGAGTGATGAAAGGATCATGAATAGTCTACAGTCATGTAGTAATGTATATTCATGGGCAGCATCTCTATTGGAATAACTCACCTTAGGTGTAACTAGAATCCAAACACTTCTTCCCAGCTTCTCTGTTATCAGTCTGGTTCTAATAACAGTCACTACGACAGATTATGGTAGCAACTTACAACTCACCTACTGTCCTTTACTTTTCCCATTCCTCATCTAACAACCATAGAACATAAGCAAATGATGTAACTCTGCCTTAAAATCTCTAATGATTTATCATTCTATTTGGCATACATACCTAAGCTCTTAATGTTTTCATTAATACTTAGTACTGTTAAAGATACTGTTTCATTTACTTAAGTTGCCCATTCTAGTCTCAGTAGAATGGAATGTCCACAGTGCAGGAAATGTGTCTCTTTAATCACAGATATGTCACCAACCTGTGCCTGTCAGTAACTCACCGGTATTTGTTTTTTAAAAAACTAAAGATCGAAGTTCCAAGATATGTCTGGACCCTCACTTTATAAGTCACTCTTGATCTAGTTTATCTCAGCCCATCCTGGTCTTTGCTCTCCTTTCACTGACCTTAGCCCACTCTTAGTTCTTGCCCTTATTCTTCAAATTATACTGAAATGAACTGGGTTTATGAGTCTATACGAACGTATTTGTCTCCCAAGGTCAGTTTTATTCTTTGATAAACCTGGAGAGCAAATACATGTTTTCCTTCTTTGTATTAGTGTATCCTTGCCTGTGATGAGTTCTCAGAGAACATGAGCATCTCTGTGTAAGCGAGGCGAGGGTGAAACCTTGGCATTTCCCTACGCAGAGAGCAGCGTTCCCGCCAACTGTAACAGGATCTAAATGATAACAGTGACTGGGTTCCTAGTGTAAATCACATCCTCATGTTTTGCGGCTAGCCTCTCTGTTCCCTCAGATTGCTCGCACCCTGGCTCTTGCTGCTGCTGCTCGCATGCTGTGAAAATGCAGTGCTCTGTTTCCTCAGGCTCCATAGGGGGTATAAAGCATTGGGTTTCTTCATAAATACAGCAGAGAAATACAACCATAGAATAACATTGTGGACACATTCAACAATATTTATTTAGTGAGTAAGAGCTAGCCCTTTTGTTACATTGTCTGTTCTTCCAGTCAATAAATGTTATTGTGACCACTGGGCTATGCTTGAAGTCAGTGTGTCCTTATTAAGATGGTATTCATTACCATAATGATAATATGTAATAGTTTCTTGAACCACTATTTTCATATATCATGAAAGGTGCAAAGTGATGCATACACCCTCTCAAAGCTGCTTTCAGAGGATGTCTACAGATGCTGAAGACTGTCAGTATGTCAAGCATAATACTGGATACTGAGCTACCGAGTCAAGAAGGCACCTAGTTGGGCTGGAGCAATAGCACGGCGGGTAGGGCATTTGCCCTGCACACAGTCAACCTGGGTTTGATTTCCAGCATCCCATATGCTCCCCGAGCACCTCCAGGAGTAATTCCTGAGTCAGGAGTAACACCTGTGCATCGCCAGGTGTGATCCAAAAAAAAGGAAAAAAAAGGCACCTAATGAAAGCACTCATCGTGCTAGGGTTAATGACAGTTAATACTACAAACGTTGTTCTCTGAACAGCCGTTGGAGGGGGAGGTACACTGACCCCATGTTGTTGAAAATCTACATGTAATTTTTTACTCTGTTCCTCTGTCTAGCTAAATAGTCCATTGTTAACAAAAGGTCTTACCAGCAACATAACTAACTAGCATAAAATTTGTTATTTATGGAATTCCTAAAGTAAGGAAAATATTAGAAAAAAGAGAAAAATGTATTTACACATATATTGAAAATGCTTTTACACATATATTTTAAAAAATACACACATAAGTGGATTTACATTTTTCAAACCCATGTTGTTTCAAGGTCCACTCTAAAACTACATCAACATTTTTTCAGCTCCAGCTGTGTGACAGCTATTGCCTTTTAAGTTCCCACAAGATACTTTTACCTATAACTTCACTGAAGGACCAGATAGCGCTTCAAGGCAGACATAGTATTGTTACGAATACACAATTGGATGCAGAAAAGATAATTAAGAAAAAAGCAGTGATTTAGATATGACTTAAATCTGAGTTTAGAGGAAGTGTCTTGTTGCAGCTTGGTTGTGAATTGGTAAGAACAATACTATGAAAATAAAAAAAGTCTCTGCTGTCAAGGAGATATTTGATATAGTTGATATTTTTATCAAGCAGAGTGCACTGACTTTCTTTTAGTGATCTTAAATCCTGTCTGGAAATGTCAATGATTAGCAAACATGAGTGTCTAATCTGCATGATTTTCTTAACTCTTTCCACAGAAAGGAGCTGGGTACCACCTGGACCTCTTTTGGGTGGCAGTGCTCATGGTGGTGTGCTCCTTCATGGCCCTCCCGTGGTATGTGGCTGCTACCGTCATCTCCATTGCCCACATTGACAGCTTGAAGATGGAAACAGAGACATCCGCACCTGGAGAACAACCAAAGTTTCTTGGAGTGAGGTACGTAAAGTTAGAGCAAAAGGACTCGGAAAACACAACACGCACACATCTCTGTCCATCGCAACTGAGTAGGCAGGGGTCAAGGACAAAGAACTGGTGTTGATTCATTTATTCCTATAGTGTTTTACCAAAAACAGTAACAACAAGTCTCACAATGGAGAGGTTACTGGTGCCCGCTCGAGCAAATCGATGAACAGCAGGAGGACAGTGCTACAGTGCTACTGTTTTACAACTAATTGAACCTTCATCAGAGATCCCTTTCATTTCTCTTCTTGTGGTACATAAATTTCCTTCTATGAGTGAAAGGCTAAATGAATCCATGTAAAATACAAACAGTCCACTTGTTCTCTTCAGCATCCAGGTTATTTTGATGCTGTAGTTCCATTTGAGTCATATCTAAAAGTGAAACCCTGAGGCAGAGAGATGCCACAGTGGGTCTGGGACTTACCTTGCCAACAGTCAACCAGGGTTTGATCCCCAGCAGCAATATGGTCCCCTGAACACTATCAGAAGTGATCCCTGAGCCCAGAGTAAGGAGTACTCAACAAGCACCACGGCCTGTGACACAAAAAGTCATGAATAAAAAACAATAAAGATGAAACCCCTCCCTTAATTTCTCAGCTTTATTCAGATTCCTTATAACTCGACTCTGAAATTTAAAATGTTTTGAGTTTTTATTACTTTTTAAGAGTCTCTGAAGGGAAAAACACTGTATTCTCCCCCCCCCCCCCCCGCCCCCACCTCAGTTCACTTTCTATCGCTGAAGCACTGACAGACTTGCCCTTCAGAGTAAAATTTGGGTAGCCATGCAGAGTAAAAGTATAAGATCTTTATATCCTGTGGAGTGCTTTTCACAGGAATCCCTGTTCTTGAATGCTTGAGTGAATAATTCTGACAGAACCATCATTTCCCATGTCTAAACAGCGGGTAATTATTTCCTGGGGACTGAGGAAGGGTGTTGGATGAGAATCATATTTATTAAAAAGTACTTTTGTTGTTGTGGATTTGGATATTAAATTAATGGAATTTATTGCACTTATGAAATTACCCTAAATTGTGTGCTAACTTGACTATAGGACAATGTAGTATCTGTTTGCTATATAAGGTGTAATTGCACACCAGTAGAAGTTGTTTAAAAATAAGAATTTCAAAGAGGTCAATATTTTGATGGGTCAAGAGCAAATTTTTCTTTTTTGGACTCTCAAATGAGCAAAATATTTAGCATAAAATTTCAAATTTCATAGTACAAAAACTTTGAGAGAATTCATAGTTGTGTTGATCTATAGGCTATCATTGAGGTATTAAGTACATCTGGAATAAACACCTTTGCTGTCTTAGTCAAACATTGGTTCAGTGAATGTTAGTGTTTTGTTTTTGTTTTGTTTTTTTTATGATCTAAAAACAAGTTTATGATTATAAAAACAGTTGGTGGATTAGTAATCTTTTGATTTGATTTCAGAGAACAAAGAGTCACTGGAACCCTTGTGTTTATTCTGACCGGTCTGTCCGTTTTTATGGCTCCTATCCTGAAGGTAAATATATAAATGCTCATCTCTTTCTCTTTTTCAAAACACTGGCAGGTAATTGGATACTCAAACAGTAGATTTCCTTGGAAAATTCTTGTTAATTCTTTAGTACACTGAAGGCAGTCAGATAGAATGAAAAATTTTGAAAATCTTTATTTGTTTAATTGTTTTGTTTGTTTGTTTGTTGGGGGAGCCACTCTTGGCACTGTTCAGGGTTTACTCCTGGCCCTGAGCTCAGGGATCATTCCTGGACTCAGGGAACCATATAGGGTGGCAAGGATTGTATCTGGGTCAGTTGTATGCGAGGCAAGTACCCTCCCTGCTGAACTATCTCACCCCAAAATTATTTTTTAAAAAAAATTTTTTACACCTTATTGAATGGATAAAGAAAATGTAGTATATGTGCACAGTGGAGGGTGGAATGAAACAGCAGCAGTACAGTAAAATTTGGTGAATTGTGGAAACATTAATGGACCTTGAAGACATTATATTAAGTGAAATAAATTTGACTAGGAAATAAAATACTGTATGAACTCAGATATCTGGGAACTCTAAACTTGGGGTCGATCGGAGACACAGAACAGCAGGTAAGGATCTTGCTTTGAATGTAGCTAATCTGGGCTCAATCACTGGGACCCCATATGGTAGCCCTTCTAGGAGTGATTCTGAGGATAGAGCCAGTAGTAAGCCAGCTGTGACCCCCAAACCAAAATAAAACAGACAAATAAAACCAGCTTCACCAATGCAGAAAACAGATTGATTGCTAGAAACAGGTGATGAAGTGGATAAAGGGGGTCATAAATTATAAATTCCCAGTTATAACAGAAAAATCAGGAAGATGTAATGTAAAACATGCTCATAGTTTGTAATATTACATTTTGTATTTGAAAATTGCTGAGGGGAGGTATGTATTGAAAGTTCTCATCACAAGACTAAAACTGTGTATGATGATGAATGTTACCCTCTATCATAGATATTGAATTATATTATACAGCAGAAATGAATGGTTTCTTTTCTTTTCTTTCAAAAATTTCATTGTTGGGGCTGGAGCAAAAAGACCGATTTTGTCTTCAGGTGTATTTAGGCTAATAATGCCATATATAAAAATTACGAGAAGAAATCTAAATGCTTATATTTTTATATTAGCTTTCATAATATAAATCAACTGGTATAATTAATTTATAAATAAAATGTAAGTATGTATATCATGTAATATGTGGAAATAAATTTAAAATAAATTCAGACAATATTGAAACTGTTTAGCTCTTCTGTTCTGGAGGGACACGGAGGAATCTAGTGTCACTTTTGCCAGTGTGAAGTAAGTTGTAGCATAGATTTGAAGTTCTTTTGGGTTTCATATCATCAGCTCAGTCAGTATAACAGACCAGAAGGAGCTTTTAGGCAGGAGTCTCCCATACCTGTACTTTTACATTCTGCACTATAGCACTGTAGCACTGTCCTCCTGTTGTTCATCGATTTGCTCGAGTGGGCAGTCTCCATTGTGAGACTTGTTGTTACTGTGTTTGGCATATAGAATACATCATGGGTAGCTTGCCAGGCTTTGCCATGCAGGCAAAATACTCTCGGAAGCTTGCCGGTCTCTCCGGAATTCAACATTTTTAATTACCACAGTCAGCAATGGTCTAAAAATATTAAATATAATCAGATAGTAAAAATACAGTAATAAGGTATTTTCAAAGAGAGAGCAGAGGAGACTGAGTGAGCATTCAAATAACATATAATAGTAAATTGTTATAATTTTATAAATAAAATAATATCTATTATTATGTACTTTGTACTTAATTTGTGATTTAAACATTCTATAGGTCTATATGTATAGGAAAATATTGTATTCATATGTATGCCTATAAACATGCATGTGTATATATGTATGCATAAAATATGAAATGTATATGTATATTATATATTTTATAAAATATATTAAAAATTATATGTGTGTATACATATATAATATCAGTATTATTCTGTAGTTTCAGAAGTCCACTAGTGTTCATGGAACATAACCCCTACAGGTAATGGGGACTACAATGCTACATGAACAATAAACCCTATCTGGAGACATCTAGTTTTAGAGAGATCATTGCAGGAAATTATGTCCTATTTGTGGGAAACTCCATTAGGAGTAAATTTGTCTTCAGATTCCCTAGAGATGAGTTTGCGCGATGGAACTGCAAAATAATTTTTGTGAAATCTCAGTGGTCTTACTAGTTTGCCACTAGTAAGACATAAATAGGCAGAAAAATATTCATTCAAATTTACTTACTTATCAGTCCCTATCTATTTAGGACAAACCTTTCTTTCATTAATGCATTATAACATTTTAATTCAAAAAATGTTGTTTATATTGTATGTGTTAAACGTTCCTTTTTATTGTTATTACAGAAAATTAGCTTTACTGTTGGAGAACCTGTCAGCTGAGTAATCATGTATAATTCTGCAGAGCACTGGTACTGTATAAATGAGTATTTTTAGAAAGAGAGACAAGACATGTTTTCAGCAACACCTTTCTCTGTTTTGTCACTTGGCACCCAAATATGGCTGCAGAGAAGTTAAAAGCTAAAAACATTTTTGTTCTCTAGGTTACAATGGTTCTCTACTCCCCTGATATGCAAATTGCCTTAAGAAATGATAAAAATACTGAGGGAACAGGCAGATGTAAGGAATTGATGAGGGTGAGCGTGCTCTGCTGTAGACCATCCGTCCTGAAGTAACCCAGACTTTGGCTCACCCTCCTTCAGCTGCTGGTGTTCCTAATTGTGGCTATTTCCCCCTGGCAACTTGGGGTCAACCCAAAGTGTCATTGTAAGAATCAGTGGAGAATTGGTCTAGCAAAAATATTTATGTTGGACAATAGTTTGCCCAAACTGTGGGAAATGAAATTGTTTCTGCTGATAGAGTTTCCAACACGCTATAGGAAACCTAGCTATTCCTAACTTTAGGAATGACATTTGCTAATTTCTGACCATATGCCTTTCTTAACATTGAAGTTTGATAAGTTAAATGCCTTCACAACACAAATCTTATTAGTTTGAGAAATCAATACAGGAATCAGCTAATTCTAGGATACAGTATAATTCTTTTCTTCTTTTTTTTTTTAAATGGCTTTTGGGTCAGACCCAGTGGTGCTCAGGAGTTTCTCTTGGCTCTGCACTCAGGGATCATTTCTGGCAGTGCTTGGAGGGATCAAATGGGGTGTCGGGGATAGAATCTGGTTCAGTTATGTGCAAGGCAGTTTCCCTCCCCTCTGTACTATTGCTCCAGCCTCATGAGAGTACAATTTAAAAATCTAATTAAGAAAACGTCCTGGATAACAATTAACCTTAGAATTCACAAAAGATGTATGGTGTCTGGAGTGCCCTTAAAGGGACCCTCTTTCCTTAATCACAGGAAGAAGAGTTTGTCTTTGAAAGGGAGATTAAATGGCTGGGACCAAAGAAATGTGTTTCCTTTTTTTTTTAATGCTTCCTAATTTTTTATTGACCTCAGTATATTTATATGACCTCAAAATATACTTCAGGGAATACATGCATATATTTGATTTTCTCACTATTAATTTTTTTAATTTTACTCAATCACCGTGAGATAGAGCATTACAAAGCTGCTCATGATTGGGCTTCAGTCATATGATGTTTCAACACCCATCTGTCCATCTGTGTAATTTCAAAACACCAATATCCCCAGTTTCTCTCCCAGCGCTCCAAACTATACCCCACCCCAGTCTACCTCTATAGTAGGCACCTTATTTCTTTTTTCTTTCTCTTATTTTAGTCATATGGTTTGCAATACAGATGCTAAAAGGTTATCATGTAAAGGATATGATATCATGTAAAGAATATCAATATATACATATATATATATATATATATATATATATATATGCCTCTTTTAACACTCGGTTTGTGACTTTTCTTTTCAAGTGGAAGGGCTCTACACTTTCCTTGCATTTTCCCACTAGTTTACTGGCCTCAGAGGATCTTAGTAATTTTCACTCATGCATTAAATTGTGTAGGTAGTTGTTCCCCATAACTGCTTGTGCAGACTTACTTTAAACCTGGATTTTATAGCCTCTGTTTTAAGATCTTTGTCTTTTTTCATAGAAGAATGCAAGGACTTCGCATTTTCTAGGTTAAAGTTCACAAAGACACTTTGGCCTGCCACAGTCATAAATATTTTGCATCTCAATACTGATTTCGTATGGAACTATTGCAAAGCAGGAATAGCTGACTTTCCAGGCTGGTTAGACAGTTTAGATCTACGTTACTGCAAGTGGAAATGTTACCTGTTAATCTAGTGTTCTGTATGGGGAGGCTAGGGAAGTTGAAAGAGTAAACAAGGATGAAAGGCAGTTTCTGCAACTTTTTCCATCCTGCTGGAATGGAAAGAAGCAAAGAGCAAGTTAGCTCACAGCCACTCCTGTTGCCTTCTCTCAGGCAGGTTTATCTCTAACACAAGGAGTGGCCAGTACGTCTCTTTCAACTTTAGTGGTTCAAGTTTAGCGTTCTAAATTGAAGGATAACATTTCATTTGGGTTTGGCAACATTGGGTGAACGCCTATGCCAGTACACCACACTCTGCCCAGTCATCACGGAAACAAAGAGCAATGAGAGTGAAGATGATGATGATGACGGTGATGGACAATGGCAGTGATGATGATGATGATGATGATGATGATGATGATGATGATGATGATGATGATGTTTTGGTAATAGTAAATCCTGTTTACTGAGCTACGTATTGGACTAGGATTTCTGCATAATTTTTTAAATTTCATTCTCGAATAACAACAGCAATAGCATGCTAATTATTGTATCCATTTCATAAATAAGAAAAATGCCGAATAACTTGCCAGGTTACAGAGTTTCCTAAATGGGAAAGCCAAGATTTGAACTCAAGCACTTCAGACTCTAAAGCCTAATCTGATAACCATCACGGTTAACTTTTAAAAATAAAACAATGCTTACCTCAAAGAACGTATTCACTTCATT